AGCTGGTGTATCTTAGAAGCCTACATCTAACTGAATTTCCTGGTAAGAATACCATGTGAAATTGGTGGCGATGGTGAGACAGGGGCAAATGCAGGATTGGAAGGCCCATGCCAGAGGAAATTCCTACTATTACTGGATCTTCCAACTAATCAGCCACAATACTCCTGTCTGCTAAACTGCATTGGCTTCTGCATTCCCTCAAATATGAAAAGGCGATAGCAACATCTCCTACTGATTTTTCTGGTGGCCTCCCTCTTTTTGAAATATCAAGCAGAAACCCAGGATAACAATGCCATCTTGGTTTGTGGTAATACACACAGTGCCTGTGTGTTTCCTGCCATTTTCCTCTCCTTCCTGAGTGTGAAGATTTATATCTAGCAGCTGTTTGTCTTCTCTCCACATCACTCATCAGAATCTGGCTGACTCCTTCACCCTATCAACTATAAGCTTCTCTTCCCCGCTCCCACCATGTGCATCTCCTGCAGCTTTCTCTTCTCTGTTTCTTTTATTTTTGTGTGCTTCCTGTTGCTGCGTTTTGCTGAAGTTCATCAACTCAATCCCAGCCTTTGCATAGTCCGCTCAATAATCCATGTCCAGGATCCCTGTCTCACTGCCATCCCTCCTTATCTTCTCTTTCCCAGAGTGCACGTAATGGAGCGTTCAAAATGATTGGATTTTTCTTTTCCCCACTTAATACAGAGAAATGGGACTATTTCGATCGCTCTTTTGTGAAAGTGAAGACGCCTTAGTCCCAGAAGCCGCTCTCTCTCTCTCTCATGACAGAGAGAGAAAGAGGGACGGCTTATGGTGAGTTTAAGTGAAGGTCACCTCACCTCAGGCGAGGGGTGAAGTTTAGGAGGTGATGACGTCAGCTGACACAGGACTTGATTGTGAGCTGTTGGCATCACATTGCATCATAACCCAGTCAGTTAAGGTAACCAAACCCTGGAGCCTTTTACAGGGACATCATAGGTGTCATGAAATGAATGATCTCCTTTGCTGTGTGATACAATGATTCTATCAGCAATCTTGGTTTTAATGCTGTCTCTCTCTCCTGTCCTACAGCACACAGGAGCATTTGTTTCTCAACAATTGCACACCTCTGCTACCCACCTCCCCTGCCTTCACTCCCTCCACAACAAACCTGTAACCCTGTGGCTTCTCTGTGGAGTGTGCTGCGAGCTCTAAGGGCTGAACAGGGATGCAACTGCAATCAGTTTTTTTTAAATAATGAAATGAGGCGTGAAATGGCTCTATTGTGCGGCCCAGTGTCGCTGCCATTTTCATCTGAAAGCAGGCCTTTCAAACCTGGGTGGTAATGGGCAGTCTGGGAGGGAGACGCAAGACAAAAGGTCGGCGATTCTGTTTGCATAAAATTCCACTACTTTTGCCCTTTCCATAAAGGGGGATCGAACAATGTTAATTTTAAGAGCTTGTACCTCTTCTCGAGAAAACAAAGGGAATCCAAACATATTTCACAGACTGCCTTCCCCATTCTCCACTTTAGTCAAATCAAATACTTTGAGGGCTTTACGCATTAAAAGGCAAATTCAGTACCACCCGCTGGTATTTGAGATACGCACGTTGTGAAGCTAAACCTGACTTGCCGGAACTGCACTGCAGCCCCAGGTTACACTGAGTCAGACAGGTACTATGCAAACAGCCTTTCATATAACCTGGTGCAGCTGTTTTGGCACATATTGGCTAAGCCGTGCCAGGTTCTGTCCTGTTTCTATATCACAGTACCATTCTGCGTTGGCATGGGTTTGCTGTGTCAGGCGGTACCAATCCAAACAGCGACCCTCAGAGGTTTCGAAGGACCCTCTCGTGGCATCAGGGCTACAGTGGAGTTATGTGAGCCATTCATCATTCAAATATTTACTCCCTCCACCGCCAACACACTAGAGTGTACCACTTCCACTGCAGCACCATCCAACCCTCGATCTCACTCACCTCAGAGGAACCGAGCAGCAGGCGCATGGGAATGCCACCAACAGCAGGTTTCCCTTCAATCTAGCCTGACTTTTCCTTTTATTAATTCTTGGGAATGTGGGCAACGCTGGTTATATTTATTGCCCATTCCTAACCACCCAGAGCACAGTTAAGAGTCAACCACATTGCTGTGGCTCTGGAGTCACATGTAGGCCAGACCAGGTAAGGATGGCAGTTTCCTTCCCTAAAGGACATTAGTGAACCAGGTGGGTTTTTCCCAACAATCGACAATGGATTCACAGTCATCACCAGACTCTTAATTCCAGATATTTGTTGAATTCAAATTCCACCAGCTGCCGTGCTGGGACTCAAACCATTATCCTCAGAACATTATGCTGGGACTCTGGAACACTAGTCCAGTGACATTACCACTTCTCCACCAATTCCCCAGACTTGAAATTATATCACCGCTCCTTCGCTGTCACTCAGTTAAATTCCAGGATCTCCCTGAGTAACAGCACTGTGACGGTACTAACAAATACAGACTGCAGTAGCTCATCACCACCTCCTCAAGGCAATTAGGGATGGGCACTAAATGTGGGCCTTGCCGATAATTTTCATATTCCATGAACAAAGAATGTATCAATATATGTGCTAACAAATATGTCAACATGGAACTGATTCAGCATACCTCATGTCACACATTTAAAGAATCAGAGTTGAAGAACAGTGGTGAGGTGAGAACTGGGGTTATATTTTGAGGTTGGTGCAGAGAAGACCATATGTGGAGGCAGGTTCAATCAAGGCTTTCAAGATGTGATACGGTGGCTCAGCGGTTAGCACTGCTGCCTCACAGCGCCAGGGACCTGGGTTCGATTCCACCCTCGGGTGACTGTCTGCGTGGAGTTTGCACATTCTCCCTGTGTCTGCACGGGTTTGCTCCGGTTTCCTCCCACAGTCCGAAGATGTGCAAGTTAGGTGGATTGGCCATGGGAAAGTGTCCAGGGATGTGCAGGTTAGGTGTGTTAGCCATGGAAAATGCAGGGTTACAAGGATAGTACAGGGGGGATGGGACTGGAGTG